GAATACATTCCTGTGGTCGGGTTGGTCGACCTGATATGGTTTTAATCTGACCCCAAGTGATGCCAAGACTACCATGTTTATTTAGAGTTTGACACCACTCAAACCATCTTGCCTTTTTTTTTTACCTCTCTGGAAACTCGCCTTGTTTCAGATATCACCGCTCGTAGCAGAGTTCTTCCTTCTGGTGTGGGGTTTCTCTCTAGATGTTTTCTGAAGATGTTGACTCTGTGATTTTGTTCTTTAACTTCATTACTAGAAAACCAATAGTTTTTTCGTTTTGTGTTTCCTACGATAATGATTGTAATAGCTTTGTTTGCAGCAGCTGCAATGGGTTCCTGGAGATTGGTATCGTGTATGTTCAAATCCTCAGGTGACGTGTATGTTGCATACCATTTTCCAAGTTCCTCTTGGTATATATTCCAGTTGACCTTTTTTAATTCCACCTAGATTACGCAGGTCGTGTCGGAGGTCGTTCTATGTTTATTGTTGTGACAGTAGCATAATTGTTACTGGTGACCACCGGGTCTACCTCCCACTTCGCCAGATGCTTGAGTGCTGTTGAGATTAATGTAAGATCAAGGGAACCCCTTAGAATGTCAATGGGTTCCCCTGTGTTAAGAAGTGTAATTTCAAGTAATTCTCGCAAAGCTGCAGCTAAATGGCGCATATCTGAATTGGCTGGCCCAGTCGCACCTAACTCTTGATGATGAGTATTAAAATCCCCAGCAAAAATTACCTTTTGATGCGTGGCCAAGGCAAGCACTGCCTCTGCTTCTAGTTTACGTCTAGGGGGCTTGTAGACGTTGTATATGAGGAGCTCAGTATTAGCCATATTTACTGTTACTGCTAATACCTATACTCCATCCCCAAATGACACTGGGTCTATTTTCGTGCTGGGTATGGTGTTCCTGACTATGGTCATTAACCCTCTTTGTCTTCCCTGTTCTTACGGTATAACATAGTGCTGATATCCAGCTAATCTGAAGGATTTCGTGGCTCGGAAAAGAGTTTTTTCCAAAACAATTATATCTGCTTATGTACTGATTGCAGCTTCCTGAAGGGTGTGGTTTTTATTTCCAAGACCTTGTATGTTCCACTGCAGTATTCGTAATGGGCAGACGATGGTTTCGGGTGGTGTTGTCTGTTCTAGTAGAACTCCTCTTCGGAATCAACGCCTATACTCTCCACCTCGAAAGTCGTGTCGCTGCAAATCGGACTGTACTGATTGCTCATGGTCATCCCCTGCATTGTTGAAATCTGTGCATCCCTGTTGTCCATCACTTTGTTGCTGGTATTGCTGCACATTGGACTGCATTGATTTCTCGTGGTCGTTTCTTGTGTTGTTGTAACCCGTGCATCTTTGCTGTTCAATAATTCTTTGTTGGTGTTGTTGCATATCAGACTGCATTGGCTGTTGAAGTCTGTCTCTTGAGTTGTAAGATTATGTTGATCTTGAGTGGTCACTGCTTCTTGCAGTTGCTTCTGTGAATGTTGATGTTCTGGTGTCTTGACTACCCAACTGTTGTTGGTAGTCTGTATGTCCATGTCGCGTTCTTTGTCCTCTTGTGTTTCATCTTGTCTCAGACTGTCTATTTCTTGTGTAACTGTGGTCTGCTACAAGATGTTGTCCATTATCACACAAGTGATTTCTTGAGTCTGTTGTTGTGAGGCTTTCTGCGTCATCTGTAGGCAATTGATAATAAATAGTCTCTGCCATGATCTTCACGATGTTTTTCAGCTGGACCTCCGTAAAACTGTAAATTTGTTTTGTTGATTCCGAAAGTAACTGCTTTTTGCTTTTTTGCTTTTATTGTATTTCTGCAAGGATTTTAGTCTATTTTCTGATTTGGAATTGATAAATTCGGGAAATTTGGTTCTGTGAGAGTGGGTTTCTGTTGTGGCTGTGCACGAGTGTTCCAGACGTTGGTGTTGGTGTATGTAGTGCTGGTCTGTGTGTTTATTCTGGTCGGAGCTGTCTGCACCTTTTCTTTCCGTGCAGAGCAGGTTGTGCTCCAGGCATGATATTTGCCTCCACAATTTGGACATTTGGCTGTTGTGGTCTGGTTTGCCTTGTGCTTGGCTATACAGTCTTTTTGGTTCAGGCGGATGCCTCAGGCTGCCAAACCACTGGACGGTCTGCCTAGGACTCTCTGCCTGTCCGGTGCAGCGTTATTGATGGTGGCCGTATTTCTGACATCTGAAGCAGCGCAGGGGTTCCGGGACGTATGGTCTCTGTCGGTATATTCCCCAATTTCCAAGACCGAATGTTTCTGGCACATGTCCCATGCCGGTCACCAGAACCTGACGTGTCGCTGCTTTGTCTACTTTTGTGCGGCATCGTTCTGCATTCAGGATTTGCTTGTATTTTTGTACTGGATCCAGTGGAAAGTCGATTGGGTTTCCCAAAAGCACGACTCGTGTGCGTCTTTCTGAAGGGTCCAGCTTTTCCAAGCATACAGGTTTCCCTTGCAGGACTGTTATTTTTTTATAAACCCACAACCCTACTTTGTAGTGTGTGGGTCTCGTGGTGTCATTATTATTTCCTTCCTTTATACTAGGACTGTGATGGAAAGTTTGAGCTCTAGTTGTTCCTTTTCCATTGCCGTTACTAATCCATATGCTGTAGGAAAGTGGTCTGTCTGCATTATCTGGAATTTTGGAAGATGTGCAGTTTGACGTTGTCTGGTGTGAGACTAGTGGTGTCCTCTCCTGTCTCATAATGTTGTCCTGTGGCTGGGCTGTGGAGAGAGGTACATTGTGTGATATTGGATGGTGTGTGACTGGTACTGTTCTCTCCTGTCTCATACTTTCGTCTTGTGGCTGGATTGTGGACAGAGAAGCATTGTCTGACACTGACTAGTGTGTGACTGGTGCTGTCCTAGGTCCATTATGTCTGGTGTCTGTCTGGAAGAAGCACGTGGTGAAGCCTCGACAGCAGTTTTCTTCGGTGCCTGCTGCACCTCGGTCCACTGTCCCTACTTATCTGAAAGCTGCCTCCATTGCCTCTTTCACTTTGAATTCCCCAATGACGTCTCCACATAGTGAGGACTGATTCACTGCCCTACCTAATGCCTGAGACACTCCTAGGCCTGGTGAAATTCCTTCCCCTCTAACGGAGGTCGTAAAATGAATCCTCTAGGTGGAATCAGGGAAACCTTACACCTAATTGAGCTGTTTGGTCTACCTTTCCCTGTAAGGCTCAGTGCACCTTCTAAGGTGCTCCCTTGTGGTGATGTCTGCAGAGTATCGCCTCGCCCTGTAGGGCAGGACTCTAAGTGACCTGGTCAGTGATACGGTCCTCACAAAAAAAAAATCATAGGCGACAAATGCGGTACTACAGTTTGGGTCGCCTGCATACTGGGTTGCGCAGAATACCAGTCAGCTGGACATCAGATAATCAACAATGTTGTTTGTCCATCAGTTGTAGTCGAAATCGGAATTATTTCCTTCCAAACAAGATATTCTCAGTATTGGAGTATTGATGTATTATTCCTATCAAAATCACGATGATTTGATCTGACGGGTGCTCAGAATCTTAAGTTTTGCAGGGAACAAAAACGTGTGTGGCCAGCTAGCAATGGTGTCAGCAACAAATCCCCTGTCTCATGTTGTTCCTATGAGTGCACCTTTTGTAGCACTCTTCCCCCAGAAAGCAGCCCGTGACAGCTTGACTAACACCCAGGTACCTATTTTACTGCTAGGTACACATAGGGTAAAGAAACTCTGCCCGTTGTTGCTCGCCGGCGCCTGGGATAGAACCCAGGACCATGTTGCTCCTATGAGTACACCTTTTGTAGCACTTTTCACACCATGTTGCTCTTATGAGAACACCTTTTGTAGCACTCTTCATACCATGTTGCTCCTATGAGAACACCTTTTGTAGCACTTTTCATACCATGTTGCTCCTATGAGTACACCTTTTGTAGCACTTTTCATACCATGTTGCTCCTATGAGTACACCTTTTGTAGCACTTTTCATACCATGTTGCTCCTATGAGAACACCTTTAATAGCACTCTTCATGTCATTTGGCATTTAACTGTTGTAGCTGCTGTACATTCACATTTCTGAGCCAATTACTATTATGTACCATATTCAGGATCATATAATTCTCTTTTCCCATGCACAATACAAGTTTATCAGAATTCAATTATTATAAGTCAATAAGTAAGTTGATATTAGCGTGGCGCAAAATAAACTTTGCATAATCAGTTAGAAGTTTGGGATTTTGGGTAGATAAAGTAGCTCCACCTGACGACGGTTTCGCATGTTGCATGAACTTTCCTATGATCTCGACTTAATTTACAGAGATTTGTTTATTGATTCAACACCTCATTGAAAATTTTTATGGAAAGACAAATGCAGAAAACAAAAAATGCCAATTACTAAGATAACAAGTCCAAACTTTTAGTGGCATATAGGGAAAAAGAGACAATAAATGCAGAAAAAATTGTGTTATTGAGAAAACATGAACTATCTCCGTATTTCTTAACCGCTAAACATATAACAAATTTTTAAAAACATTGTTAAAAATCTTGTTAATTGTTTCATGATTAATAAAAAGTTTATATGAATTTTTCAGACATTCTGAGAGGGGAGGGGGGGGGGGGGGTTATATACAAAATTTTAGATATGTAATATATGACAGTCATCTTGGATAACTGATGTCATAAAAACTCGTGAAGCCACTGATGGACTCACCAAGAAAAGGCATTTCATTACATTCATTGCTCGATTTTTTATTTATATATTTACAAGATATTTGAAATTTTATGTTTTGTTAATTTGACACAGTAATGAGCCAGGGGGATGAGAGAACGGCACACTTCAAGGATTAACATGCTAATAAGCTGCAATTCAGTCTTATATCTCAATCATGACGAAACATACCAAGAGTTGAGTCGTTCATATGCCACACACTGCAGCTCATTCATATCATAACATTACACAATTACATTAAAATATAACTGAAAAGTAAAATTTGTGAAAGTTTATACTGACCTGCAGCTCCAGATAGTAATACAACAATTTAATGAGTGTATTCGAGACTTAGTCGCTTCTTCTTCCTGTCCAAGTGACTTGAAAACCCAGAATTCCGAAACTTCGAGCCAGATCTCTTAGGCGATGATCTTCTTCCAGGGAAAGGTAGTCTGTGACCTCCACTAAGAGGTTGTTGGTGGTGACGCCCTCACGGTCAAGTCCTCTCAGAAGATTCTCCACACCTACACCTGCAGAAAGAAGGGAACTTTGAATCCTAAAATTTGCTTTTGCCACACACTTATGTAACACAATTCTCATCAAAATCCACACTTGGCTACACAACACACCCATGCATTAAAAAAACGGACACCAATTCCCACAGGTTGCAATTTTACCTACATAACAAAATCTTCATAAGTCACAAACTCATACATCAAAATATAGCATGGAATGTGATGTTCATGGCGGCTAAAATAGTGTTCAACTTACAGCAAAACAAATTACAGGAAGTTTTAATGGGTGCAAAAGAAACATCCCTCCTCCTCCTCCATTATATAAATGCACTAGAGCTACTGTCCCTTGCTTCTATATCATGCAAAATGATGAAGACGACTGAGAGAATGGGAGACTGTTTGTGGAGAAGAACTTTATAACACAACCCAAGCACAGAACAACAACTCTTGCCTTATAAAACTGACTAAATTATATGACTGGGAGACGGAAATCAGATAAGGCAGAGAACGGTAAGCTGACTTAATATTTTTTGCATTATCAGAGAAAGGGCCTTCTACTAGTGTACATGTTGGAGAAAAATAATTTTTGGGGGAACCTGCTTCAATGGAATAAAGAATTTCCTGGGGCAAAAGAAATACAGTCTCAGTGAGAGGAAAACTTCAAAGTTACCATATATGTTACCACATTGACCAGCACTAGGACCTGCCGATAATGGAAAGATTGATTGACGCAGCCCTTTTTTCCGAGGGGCGCATCTACGTCAATAGTTTTCTCTGGGAAGGGAGGGGTAAAGATGGTAGAGGAGTTCATAAACAATATTTCCACTGTTATGTAAAGAAACCTGACCATAACGTTAAAGGGGCACAGAGACAACAGTTTTTTCGTGAGATAAGGGGAGTAGTAAAGGGTAATGTTGTTATGTGAACACAGAAAAACACGACAGTTTTAATAATACATTCCTTCGTATTCTTGTCATAATAACAACACACACGCGGTCTGGAGGTGGGCGTGATCGGAAACATTATGTGGTATGTAAAAACTGATCTTGACATAATCCAAACAGTATGAGGTTCAAGGCCAAACATAACCTAGTTGGGTAATAGGGGAGGTAGGAAGGTGAAAAGTAGGAAGTGAAGTAGCGAGGGAGGCAACGAACACACATACGACAGAAGAGGAGAGATAACAAACAGAAGGAGAGAAGGGAAGGGAGATAGATAAATACTGTGGAAGGAAAAGACACAAGGTGGAAGAAATAGGCAAGAGAGATGGCCAGAAAACGGGTCAAGATTAGAGATTAGCAATCCCGCAATGTGGCTCAAACTATGTGAGAAGGCTTGTCTGTAGTCATGAGCCGTTCTGATTCGACTGGTAAGCACATCAAAGCCTTCCCCACCAGAGAGATGTTGGCGAACTTATTGTAATGTACAAGGCCAATGTTCTCGAGGTTCCTCATCTTGCCCATCTTAGTGGAGAAGCAGAAGTTGACACTTAAAACACAAGGCGCTCAGCAGTCAACAACCTCATGCTAATTGTGCTTTTCTCAAGAATATAACTCCATCATCGATCAATCATTACTAGGCTGATTCGTATTTGAGACATGTTTACTAAACACGTAGATACCCATGATCTCAAGGCCGCCAACCACATGAAGGCTTCAACATACAGTTGGCTCTTAGTCAATCTTATATCTTAGATAATAGTCACAATTCCATCCTTAGCCTAGCATATGACTCCTCCTTCATAAGAGTTGTTCTCGATCAGTAAGTTTTGTTTTCGTTCATGCAATTATTTTTGCCATCATGATAAACTTAGACGGAAATAGGCAGGGGTTAGTGTGAATGGGATTTAGTAGTTTCAGGGTGAATTTATTGGTGATACGAACTTAAGAGAGCGAGGACAGATTTCCGCCAAAAAGGTTGATGACGTTGGAATGATCTTAAAGTCAAAAATAATTTATAGTCACAAGTTAAGATCCACCAGTTCATCCTAAGATTCACTACACCTATATGATACTTATTCTGCACTGTGTATTGTTTTGGACTGAAACATTGTCAGTTTCTTGGTTGAGTAAGCAAGAAGGTAGCATGAAGTGATGGATATTGTTATACCCAATCTTTAAAGAGTTCCGGATCTTTTATGGAACATTCTGGGAAATAAAAGCAACAGCTGGCAGAGGAAGGTAAACGAATGACGTCACCATAAGCCTATAGGAAGAGGCTGAGGTGTGACGTGGCTGAAGGTGGGGTCCCATGATTGGCTAAGACTCAACGTGAGTGTGTGGCTGAGAGGGAAATAACAGCATTTTGGTGTACGTCGACTTTGCTGTTTAAATTCTACCAGTAACAACTAGGAAGAGGCCTGTGAATCGTGACAAGAGAGGAGACGTCCATCTCTGAGATGTGACCACCTCTCACTTGCGCTATCGCAGGGTGGTACAGGAAGGGCATTTACCAGCGCCGCAGTGAATTCCTCCACCTTGTGAAGGTCACGGGTCTTGTTTACGTTAATGCGTGGTCTTCCCTCATTCTTTGCTCTGTGGATTTTCTGGGGCTCGAATTTTACTCTGCAAACGACGAGAGAGTGGCCGGTGTCGCAATCTGCGCTCTGGAAGCTGGGGGTTTGTTTGACGTTTCTCAGATTGCTACGCCCTGTAAGCACCAGGTCGAGTTGATGCCAATGCTTTGACCTGGGGTGTTTCCAGGAAACCTTATGCTGGGGTTTGGTGTCGAAGAAGGAATTGGTGATGCAGAGATCATGACGGCAGCAGAATTCCAGGAGGCGCTACCCACTCTCATTCATCTTCCCAAATCCAAACTGGCCCAGGCAGGAAGGCCAAGAGCTGTGATCAGAACCAACTCTTGCATCAAAATCTCCCAGGAGGAAGACTGGCTCTTGTTGAGGTATGTCTCTGAGAGTTAGGAAGAGGTCATCATAGAATTCGTCCTTCGCTTCGGTAGAGAAGGTCAGTGTTGGTGCATAGGCATTGATGAGGCTGACCATTCCTGCTGCTGTATGAAGCTGAAGTTTGATGATCCTTTCAGATCCCTCCGTGGGCGGTACTTTGGACCCTAACAACCTGTTCCTGATGGCAAAGCCAACGCCATGCTCCCTTGCCTCTTCTGGTGGTTTGCCCTGCCAGAAGAAGGTAAAGTCCTTCTCCCGTATGCTGCCGGTCGCGGGGAGACGTGTCTCCTGCAGGGCGACTATGTCCATCTGGAGCCTGCGCAGTTCATTGTTGATCACAGCTGTCTTGTGGGCGTCGTTCACCTCCAGTAGATCTTCCGAGAGACCCGGTGTCATGGTTCTTACATTCCATGTGCCCAGTTTGAGAGCTGGGTGGCTCTATGTTTATTTTCTTTTGCCTGGTGCATGGTTGACGATCCGCTTATTGGATTGTGGCCTAAGCCCCACGCACCCAGTGGAGCAGGCGGACCGTGCCGGGATAGCACCTGCTATTGGCTGGGGGCTGCTCAGCTTGAGGCGGGCGGTAGCTGTCCTATGAAATCGGAAGATTTCTCCCACCGACGGAAGCAACCCCTGGCGCCTCACTCTTCGCCAATTGAGTGGTAGGCTTATCACCGGTAACTGTCGCTTCCTGTGTTGAGCCATCGCCATGGCGATGCTGGAGTGTCCTCTCCAGGGCACAGGCTTGGGCAATAATTATGGAGGACCAGCTGTTGCCCATGCAGCAGATCCACCCTCTCCACGCCACCGATGTGATCCAAGGGAAAGGCAGACGCCGATACGCTTGGGACCAGTGTCGTCGCAGGAGTTGCCAGAATGTAGCTGTAAACAGCTGCAAGCTGCCTTAGGGTCTCCGACTCCGGATTTTTCCTCAGGGTTGACTCCCGAAGTCTTTCCCATGAGTGGGTTTAACCACAAGACAGCAGAGGTTTGAATTCGAGGTTTTCCTTCCCCTAGATGAGCTGCCTTCCCAGGCTAACGAGTCCCATCTGCCCAAAGCAACTGCTTTTATGGCGCCAGAGGCCCGCCTTCGCCCCTTCTCCTGTTGGTAGAAGCAGTTCCGCCAGGCCTGAGCCACACGTGCAGGCCAGGAGCTGGACTTGGTTGTCAAAGGCCATTTGAGACGCACGCCATCAGGGGCACTTTACAGGCTGTGGGGAGCCACAGCCTGTATCTCTATAACCCTTTCCCCCGACTATAACAACCCTTGGAACCAACCTTGGAACCAAACCCTTTGAGTTTGTAGTGCTAAGCATAATGCACCAATGAAATTTCGTGTTAATTGTGTGTGGCCGCTGTCTCTGGCGTGCACCCCCCTCCCCTTCAATAGCCTCTCACAGGTCTCGCCTGCCTATCCAGTAACCAACTCCCTGTGCTGGACCTGACGCCTACCGTTCTCCTACGCCCAACGTCACTCCACGCCATCTGTCACCCCACGCCCACCATCACCCTATGACGATTGTCATCCCGCTCCCACCGTCATCACACGCCCACACCCTTCACACGCCCTGCGGCTACCCCCACCATGAAGGGAGGAAGACGGATGCATGTAGTGTGGTCAAGAGAGGGGGTTCACCCGTGTGTCAATGAATGTTTGAAAAAGATATGTCGAGTCTAGTTTTGTGGTGAACATAGCGAGCATATTGTCATGAGTGCATCACACACTCAGTGAGCCAGAATACGTTCATCAATGTGTAGTGATATAAAAGTAATCATCCCAGAATTGAGTATTACCCTAAACCGCTTTCCTCCACTCTTAGTGTATAGTGTCTTCCATCCCCATTGTACCCGATCCTCCGTCCTCCTCCCTCCACCGATCAGGCGGTCACGCCCTTCCTCACTGCCCGGGCCAGGGCACAGCCTCCCATGCATCCCCACCCCCAGGCATCTAGACATGGCGCATGTTGTAGGGGGCTACAAGGTTTCTCCCAGACAGGAGGGAGAGATAAATACTCTATTGCAAGGTGATAATCAAACCATCAAATGATATGGTAGAAGTGACCGCTGCCAGCCAAGGTACTCCCAACACAGCCAAACAAAGAAGAGGCAAATGCAGGGTTTATAGGGACAGCATCAGCATCAACCCCATCTCTAGAGTAATACACCAGCATGGTAACTGTGCTGGGTTAGGGAGGCCTCCCGTGGAGGGAGGCAGCACTCAGGAGACAAATGCACCAGTACACATCACAACAGATTTTATAGCAACAAACGACCTGCTAGAGGTGATTAAAGCAACCTGAACCAGAACCCTCGCACACATCCACTTCCCGCCCATTTGCTGCCGGGAAATACACGGACCTCATCAGAAAAGTCAACAGAAGGTCCAGTGCCCTTGATATACCGGATACCATCAAAGCATGGCACAGTTTGCTACTTTTTGGAAATGCATATTTTTTGTGTACCAGACAGAGGAAGCAAGACAATAGCCTCATCCGTCAACAAAGCAATTATGTATTTTCCTAGGGATGAGAGCGAAATTTGCCTCCCCAAACACCGCCGCAACAGACAACAGGAAATTAAGTAGTCATATCAGCAAGAAAATTGAAGAAGGAAATACAGTGGGGCACTCAGGTTGATCACAAGTGAGGACAAAATTTTACCCAGTGATGAAACACTGAGATAAAAACACCCCCTCAGGCAAGTAGGGGGACCTCCCTCGCTGGTCAGGGTCTCCCCCAAACCAGGAACCTCTCGTCCTCCGAGAGTCAGATGTTTATAAAGCTATCGTTTCATTTCCCAGAAAGAAAGAGGTTTCTCAGAACGTTACACAGGGGTCAACAATTCAAGGAAACTGTTAACTCTGTTCTTGGTACAGTTGCAGAGGCGCTCCAATCACAAATCACAACATTTGTTAGCAACTGCTTCACCGGGTTAATGCCTGTCAAAATCAAACCTTTTTCTTTAGTGCATCCCAGTGATCCCTGAAAAATGAAGGATAGAGGGATCAGACCCATTGCCGTTAAAGGACCCATAACCTTTGCCGCCTAGTTGCAAAGGCTGATGTCAGTAGTATGAGAATGGAAGCAGCCACCATGCTGCAACCCAACCAGCTGAGGGTTTGGGGTCTCCCAAGGCTGTGAAGCAGCAGCCTA